CCGACTGGACCCCTGACAGCACCCGCCTCACGTAGGTACCGCCGGCTGGCCACACCCCCAGCAGCCGGCCCCAATTCCCTACCCAGCTGGCCCCCAGCCACCCCTGCCCAGCTGCTGCCACCCAGCCAGCCCAACTGGACCCCTGACAGCACCCACCTTGTGTGGGCCCCGACCTTCTGCCAGTGCAGCCGGTACTTCCCAGCCTGATTAACCCTGCCTAATTCCGACCCAGTGCATCCTGGGAAACCCGGGGCACTGTGAGACACCAGGAGGAGAGCATGGGTGGACCTTCCCAACTGTGTGCTGTGCAAGGAACCCAGGAGTCCTGGCTCCCAGCCCTCTCCCACCCCAGTCTAGCCACTAGACCTCACTCCCCTCCCAGAGCTGGGGAAAGAACCCAGGACTCCTGATGCCTTGACATACTCCTCCTGCCTCCAAATGGCTGTGTGGGTGGTGCTTGGTCCCTCTCTGATCTTCCTTCTGCTTCTCTCCCCCCAGCTGTGCCTTCGCCAACACCCCCAAGTACAGCCAGGTGAAGGGGCGCGGGGGCACCATCGTGCGCAAAGAGTGGGTGCTGGACTGCCACCGGGCCCGGCGGCGCCTGCCCTGCAAACGGTGAGGGCGGGAGGCACCCCATGTCCAGTGGGGCTGGGGGGGCCATCCAGGAGGTATCAGCAATGGCTGAGGCTCAGGGGGGTTATATGCTATCAGGGATCAGATGGGGAGCTAGACCGGTGGAGGGGGTGCTAGGGGTCATTCATGGGGGGCAATCAGTGATGGCTGGAGGCCAGGGGGTTCAGTCCTGCTGTGGGGGTCTGGTGGGGGGACTGCAGGGGGATGGGGGGCTCCAGGGGGTTTACTCAGTTCGGAGGTAACCGAGGGGTGTACCCTGGCAGGTACCTAATGGACGGGCCGCCCGCCTCAGGCAGCGAGGAAGAAGAGGAGAGCGAGGAAGAGCCGCCCGCCCTGACCCGCAAGACCCCCTCCCCCCGACAGGTAGGGGGTGTCAGGTGGGGCGGGGGGTGGGGTGGGGTTGGGAGCCAGGACTCCTGGATTCTCTCCCAACTCTGGAAGAGGAGTGGGATCTAGTGGTTAGAGCAGGGGGGCTGGGAGCCAGGACTCCTGGGTTCTCTCCCCAGCTCTGGGAGGGGAGTGGGGTCTAGTGGTTAGAGCAGGGGGGCTGGGAGCCAGGACTCCTGGGTTCTCTCCCCAGCTCTGGGGGTGGGGTCTAGCTCCCCAAGCCCCTGCCCCCATGACACCACCTCGCCCAGACCCCCCCCTCGGACCTTTCTCTTGCAGAGAGCCGGGCTGCCCAGCTCCAACCATCAGGGCAAGGCACCTGCCAGGGCCCAGCTGCCTCAGGGCGAGTCCTCAGGGGAGGAGACAGAGCCCGGCACATCCTGGGCCAACGCCGGCAACTCACGGGCCGGAGGGGAGAGCTCCCCGGCCTCCACGGACAGCGGGGAGCCCGCAGGTAGGGAGAGAACCCAGGAGTCCTGGCTCCCTGCCCCGGGAGGTATCCCCCAATGCCGTGGGGTGGCTGGGACTGATTTCCCGTGCTGTTCTCCAGGGGCGAGAGACCACGGGGAGGGCGACTCCGGCGACACGGACGACGAGCTGAGGAGGTGGGTACAGCAGTGTGTGGCCACCGGTGAGTTGGGAGCCATGGGGGCTGATCCAGCGAGGGGGCGGAGACAGGAGCGATGGAAAAAGGGCCCCGGGGGAGATCCTCCCCCCACGTGTGCTCATTCTGGGGAGGGACTCCTGGGTTCTCTCCCTAGCTCAGGGGAGTGGGGTGTAGTGGTTAGAGCAGGGGGGCTGGGAGCCAGCACTCCTGGGTTCTATCACTGGCTTTGGGGGCGGGAGGGGGGAGGTAGGGCAGAGGAGGGGGAGCTGAGGGAGGGGTGTGCCCCCCGGCTGACCCACGCTCCCCGATGCAGGGTGGAGGAGGAGCACCGCAAGAAGCAGCAAGCGGGTCGGGAGGCAACTCCGGACCCCGACGATGACCCCTACGGCGGCTCCACGGACGAGAACACGGATGTGGAGGAGGAGCCGGATCAGCCCATCCCGGAGCTTCCTGGTATGTGGGGTGGGACATGGGGACTCTGGCTTCCATCCGGCCCCATGGCAGGAACTGGCTTTCTCGGGGGGCGAGGAGTGGGGCACGGGGCCTATCTCTCTAGTGGGTGTGATTCTGAGTAGAACACATGAAGATTTTTAATATCCTGTG